TGATGCCGGGATAAGTCCCGAAACATAGAAATTTCCGTGTCGCAATGTAAAATATATTTTTAAATAAAAATATTATTAAAAAATATTATGGTTTACCGTGTATTGAGCACTTTAAAAAAAAAAAGTAAATGCTAAAGAACTGTGAATTCTAAATCTGTTTGTCCTATATATATATATATATACGAAAGGTCATGGTAGATTTGAAGGATATTCTGGACGAGTCCGAAAATTGTATTATAAAAAATATGCATGAGATTATATAGTAATGTCTAATGTTGCATTTCAAGCTTTCACATCGGCCACATAAAAATTCGATCCTCGATCTTCGACATCGTGGCAGCCAGATATAGAAGGTTATTTTTGTGGGTGGAATTAATGAACACTCAAAATTTGTTTGTTTGTAAATGAATGGTAATTACTTATTCGCTACATGCCATTTCGACTTAGAGAGTTCATATGAAACATTTCGTATTTTTCGGAGTGTATTACAATGGAAGACAATGGAGACATGCAGATTAACCTTCGCCAAATTTAATCCGCGCACGGACACACCTGCGCAAATAACTGCATTCTTATCTGTGCACTGGTGAGGCTTTTTTTTTTTTTTTTTTTGTATAATTAGTTTGATACTGAGGGAGAATTTATCCCTGCAAGATTCAATATTGTTCGTAAGGTTTCTTTTGTTCAGCAATGGTTCTGTCGATAAAGAATACGGAGAAAAAGAAAATATGTCTGCCAGTTCGAGAAAAGCGCATGTATTGGGTGGTCAGATAAATTCGTTCGTTTTTTTGTTTTTGTTTTTCACTTTATTTTAATCCTAGTACTGATCAACAATTTTAGCAAATCAGTCAATATTATAAAACGATAAACAAAAGATATGGAAGAAGTATCAAGCCAGAAAAATCATGAACAATACGATACAAATATTTTGCGTTTTTGTTCAAATAACATTAGGAAAAACGAACGAATTTATCAGACAATCCAATATTTTCTACGGCTATTCATTACTTTCCCAAATATTACTTCAAAATGTTTTCAGTAAATAGTATTTTATTTTTACGGGTATTAATTGATTTTTGTTTTTTTTACGGTTTATTAACTCTTTAGGTTACTTTTTTCCTTCTTTTTTAATCGAGTTCACTCCAAGCAAGGCAGTAAAGCCACTAAGACACAAAGGGTTATTGGGTGTGTAAGAATTATAAAACAGAATCATTACTAATGAATGAGAACAAACAGAATAATCAGGAAGACAGATAGCAACTGACATTGAGTTTACATTTTTGCAGATTAAAGTTGGCTGTGAAGCATGGAGCCGAAAGGGAGTTCCACAAGCAAGAAGTGCGATAAAAGAAGCTTTTAGGATAGAATTTACGGTTACATGTAGTCAACTCAACTATAAATGAGACCCCGTTGTCAGCCTATTACTGCGATTTAAATTCAAAAAGTCTAACCACCATAGGAAAGGGCTCATCCGAACAATTACCATGAAAGTTTTCATAGAAAAGGCAAAGGGAGGCAACCTTACGGCGGTGGGAAAAGAGACTGAAGCCGAGATGTCAGAACGGGGCCAATAATATTGCTGATTCTTCTTTGGATATTATGAAGGAGTGCCGGAACATATGTGGTAGCAATAGGGCACCTCGATGTGGTGTAATAGTTTGCAAGCTCGTCTTGTTAGAAGAATTACGATTGGGTAGTGAGTTCTATCGTCAGCGGGTGTCTCATATATTTCCCCTAGTGCCACAGATATTCCTAGAAAATCGCCATATAGGGGAGCAATATTCTAAGCCTGGAAGAATGGTAGACTTATAGATATGTAAGATAGATTCTGGAGAGAAAAATTGTCTTGCACGACACAGTGAACCGAATTTCTTAGTACCTGACCTAGCAATAGATTCAATAATCATTCCACATAAAATCATTGAAGAGCTTGGAAGACTTGCAAAGAACAAGGACATTTGGAGAGGACTGAAAAGAGAGATTTACAAAGTTACTCAAGATGAGAAATCACGTTGATTTGAAGTGTTTATTCAAGTTGAAACAAAGCTAATGTTAAATGTTATTCTCCTTTTATGTCGCTTGTCCGTTTCTTCCACTGAACTTGACTATGTGCCAATGGTACCAGATTCGGGGATACACCTCGCAACTGTCATGGATCAGATATATGTTAACCGATGTTTTAATCCCCTAGGTCAATCTAGTCCTGAACTTCCGGAATATTTGCCCTAATATCTGTACACACACTTAGGGGCAGTAGGAGTGAAACTAAGTTTATGACTCCGTTTCTCTGGAAGAAACAGACAAAAACTGGTTTCTATTAGCTTGTCGATTGAATGAAGTGTTTGCTTCAACATTTTCAGAAGGTTACCAAGTACGAAAATCTTGAAACATTGATTTTTCGGAAATGGGTCAGGCCGAGAACTTTTCAGCACATCATTTTAGTAATGGCCAAAGAGACGTGTGCATCCGTTATCTAACTAAATATACAGGACCAAGGAAAAAGAAGACGAAACTATTTCGTTAACCGTTGCTTCAGGGTGAGGCGAGGTGATAGTGTGCAGTTAACGCCCGATAATTCAGTCACAGGATTTTTTATTTTATTTTATTTATTATTTTTTGTGTCTTTCATCTGACTGGTTGATCGTTTATAAAAGAGTTACGTAGCTAAGTAGTGACCCGTTTAGACGTTGCTTAACTTTCCTGAGATATTCGCTAGTGGCTTCAGCGTGACTGAACCGTAAACAACATTGCATTTAAGTCTCTTTCAATATTATGAGTACTGACAATGGAACACCAAATTGCAGACACCACAGTCCATTAAACCTTGAAAGGCGAATTTACTTTTATACTTTCTTATGTAATTATTAAAGTGTCTGCCTAATGTGTTATTGTTAATTACCTCTCCTTCAATATAACTAAGTTAATGTTATTTGCATGATCCGATTGTTCAGAGGTGTGTGTGTGTGTGTGTGATGATTGGGGAGGGGGAAATAATATGCACTCTAACCAGACTCCTTGCTTTCGTTGGGAGTCGGGCGACCAAACGCAGCTTGCATGCCAACGCTTATTAGGTTAAAGAGAAAAGCAGCCTGACGCCTTGCGGCGGTTCGCAAGATTGCCAAACCATTATTGTTCAGTGCTGGTTTCGATTCCTCTTTGCTGCTCGTAGATTTATTAGTCCCGGGTATGACGATAAACTACATCCGGCAGCAAGGACTCTGATCGGGAGATTGGACGTTTTGAGGAGCGTGGAACCCCCTCTTAATTGCTGTTGTCCCAGGCTCACTCTGACCCTGGGTTGTAGCACGTGTTAGGGTCCCAGCTATAGGCAAATAGCGAACCCCTACAAAAACAAAACACTACGAAAGTATAAAAATATATTTCTATAGTAAAAATACCAACAATATCTATTGATAGTAAAATGATCAGCGATACAACTTTTATAACAAAATGACTAAAAATACATTTTATTTGTAGTTAAATCCATGAAACTGTGTTCAAATATATTTAGATTTCATAGCGGTTGATATGCCGCTAAACAAAATCAGCCAACCAACCAATATGGAAGAATTCTTTCATGACATTAATCTATATAATATCCTACAATTTCTTAAATCAAACTGTATTCCAAAATATAACTTCAACAAGACTACAACATTAAACACACACATCACCGCCCCTAGTAAACATATATGTGCACAAAAGCTACCATGTATTCAACTGTGAAAGTAGAATAACGTTTCTATTCATATTACATCAAACTTCGAATTTCAGCATTAACCCTTTGAGATTCAACTTAATGAATTAGTCATAATAACTTTATTCTAAGCAGATCAGTTTAAAATCGGATATCTTAAATTTAGCCAACTCTTTCTTAACCTCTTTTGTGGAAAGCTATAAGACTATTTGCTTGTGATTGAACCAACGCGAGTCTTTGTCTTTATTGGAGCTGTTTCGACTTGAAAGCACATTATAAATCAATATGATTTCTCATCTGCTATATTGGCTGCTAGTTTCCAAACAGGTCCACATCTTCAGATCCATTTGTGTTTTTTTTTTTAACACTCCCAGAGCCGACCTGTGGTTTATGCTACAGCTGTGCTGAGAGTACCTAATTTATAGACCCTCAGAGCAACTGATGTTCGAATAAAGATATATGTACATTTACAGTTGGGTAGGATTTCTTCTAAAAGGTTTTGCAAAAAATAAGTAATGTTTTAATGCATTGATTTCAACGCGTGTACCGCGGCACGCTGGTGTGCCGTGAGAGAATCGTAGGTGCGACGCAAATTTTTTTAAAGGATCATTTAATTGAATTATTTTCTAAAGAAGTCGAAAGCACAATTATTATCAAATTAAAAAACCCTGTAAATTGATTATACGAGTATATCCTTATTGTAATAATATAATATATAAAATAGTATAAAAAGCAAGCTTTTCTACCATACACGATATTAAAAACAAAACTCAATCATGGCTGGGATACTTGTAAGAAGATTTAACTTATTGAGCCCTGACCATCGCTTTACGGGTTGGAGAGAAAAATGACGTAATGCCCAGCCCAGGTGGGTAAACACTTGTAACTATTTTTATATCTACCGTGAAACATTACATAACAATTACTTGCGAATTTTGACTGAGGAACTCAGGCAGAAGGTTTAAATTGTTCAGGAACGCGGGGTTCAAACGGTTAAATGACTCATGAGGTGTTGATGTGCCGGTAAAGAAACAAATCAAATCAATCGTACGCTTGAAACCTTTCTGCTGTACTTGATAAGGCTTACTTATTGACACACCTCCGGCCTTTAGTAATTCCGGAAGGAGGAATTCCCACTGCTTCCTCGTCTGTATATATCAGTGATATAATTGTCTTACAGGTTGGCAAAGGGTTTTTTTTTTTTTTTTTTTCTCGAAGACTTTAAAGGAATATACACGCATACTCGACTTCATTCATTCAAATCCCGTAAACTCCTTTGAGGAATTTTCGATTAGCGTACTCAATGTTAGGGAATGCTGATATGGTTTCTATAGTAAGTTGATTTAGAATTCAAATTTTTCAGTCTTCTAGACTGGTTTCCAGCCACGGCTGAAGAGCAGTCTTCACCACTATTTAACCTATAACTAGGGGGATAAGTCACTTGGTATTTAACCTATAACCGAGTTGAGAGTACGGATAAAATTCATACCGTTTCAACTATGTTTGCGCATAAGTGAATGTATCAAACTCGGCTGGAATTGGGGAAATTGAATGGTTCTTTTTACGGTTTATCAACCCTTTAGGGGTTATTTAAAGCCGAGACATATTTTGGATTGTAAGAATATTTAATTTTTATGCAAGAGATTTCATTAATATTTTTTGGTGATAACGATTAAATTTTTAAGATACAAGTCCTACTATTTAACACAAAACTAGGGAGGAGGAGAATAGATGAATTCATACTTTCCCCAAGGATATTTGCGTGTATTTGGAATTTGAACTCGGCTCTCCAATTTCTTATTCCGAGACATTATCTTTTACACCACCCGCACATCCACATGCCAAAAATATTTTTCCGTGAGAAAATTATTAACAAATGCAATTTTATAATATTTGGTGTAGGATTTTTTCGTGAATATCTCCAGAATGCATCCGCAAACTCGATAATGAAAGCAAAAAAAAAAAAAAAAAAAAAAAGGCTATACCCCCAAAAAAAAACAACAAAAGAAAAACAAGTAATTCTAATATTTAAAAATTTACCAAAAATCCAGGAATTATTCAATTTAAATGAAGGTTTCATTACTTTTCATTAATTTGTTAGAGCAGTACTTCTAAAATTATCTGATATGGCCGACCGGCATTTTTTTTTCTGAATGTCTCACGTACCTCTAATATTTCATGGTAATATTAATTTATATATATAAATATATATATATATATATATATATATATAATAAAATATAATTTGACTACTTTTTATCTTCCATTTATTTTGCAAAAAATAATTCAATATGAAAAACATATGAAAATTAATAAAAAAAAAAAATAAGCATTTTATTAAGACAAAAACAAAAATTATATATCCCTAATCTTCTTTACAAATGATTCCTTATAATGACCTGGACACTGGCCGCGTACCGGTAGCTGATGGTTCGCATATCGGCACCGGTCCGCGGACCACCACTTTGAATAGAACTGTGTTAGAGCTCCGTAAAAAACCCAAACCCTGCTGAAGGGCCCTGACACGTTTTGGGTAAACACTGCACTAGCGAAACCACTGGAACGATGAAAGGACCAACTGACTAATTAACTTGTAGAAAATCAGCAACTTGACAATCCTGCGCCAGTATCCAGCACGCTTCTTCTTTTTTATACTTTAAATTTTTTTTCCTTTTCATTCTAATACTTGTAAAATCTGCTGTAATCAAATCAAAATGTTTCATCTTAATTCATTATCGATTTTTTAAAATTCTCGTTGCAAACGTTTTTCTCCAGATGAATAAAGACTCAAGTTAATGAATTAGTCATAATAACTTTATTCTAAGCAGATCAGTTTAAAATCGGATATCTTAAATTTAGCCAACTCTTTCTTAACCTCTTTTGTGGAAAGCTATAAGACTATTTGCTTGTGATTGAACCAACGCGAGTCTTTATCTTTATTGGAGCTGTTTCGACTTGAAAGCACACTATAAATCAATGTGATTTCTCATCTGCTATATTGGCTGCTAGTTTCCAAACAGGCTCACATATTCAGATCCATTTGTGTGTGTGTGTGTTTTTAACACTCCCAGGGCCGACCTGTGGTTTATGCTACAGCTATGCTGAGAGTACCTAATTTATAGACCCTCAGAGCAACTGATGTTCGAATAAAGATATATGTACACTTACAGTTGGGTAGGATTTCGTCCAGAAGGGTTTGCAAAAAATAAGTAATGTTTTAATGCATTGATTTTAACGCGTGTGCCGCGGCACGCTGGTGTGCCGTGAGAGAATCGTAGGTGCGACGCAAAATTTTTTAAAGGATCATTTAATTGAATTATTTTCTAAAGAAGTCGAAAGCACAATTATTTTCAAATTCAAAACCCTCTAAAATATTCTTGTTGTAATAATACATAAAATAGTATAAAAAGCAAACTTTTCTACCATAAACGATATTAAAAACAAGACTCAATCATGGCTGGAATACTTGTAAGAAGATTTAACTCTTTGAGCCTTGACCACAGGTTTACCGCTGTTAGAGAAAAATGAAGTAATGCCCAGCCGCCGGTTGAACAATAGGTAAACTATTTTAAATAAAAAAGTGTTAAAAATTATTGATATTTTTATGTTTGATAATATCAACGATACCGGATTAACCCTTTGAGATCGAACTGCCGCTTTACCGGTGGTAGAGATAAATGACTTCACGCCCAGCCACCGGTTGAAAGGTGGTTAAACATTCGCGTCGTGTTTTACTATTGGTTGTTTTATTTTGGTAGACTGGGACTCAAAGAAAGAATTCTAGCGATAAACTTAAGGCATGAAATCATACTCTCTCTCTCTCTCCTCTCTCTCCCCTCCCTCTCCCCCTTCCTCCCCATAAGAATTAAGAAGATAACGATTGACATTGCATTTAAATTTTTGAACATTAAAGTTGACTGGGAAGCAAGAAGTCGGATGAGAATTCCACAAGCGAGAAGTGCGATAGAAGAAACTGTTAGCATAGAACTTGCTGTTACATATCGCCATTTCAAGAATAAAATGCCCTGATTTTTTCTTGCTTCTTTACTCGCACTTATTTGTATTTATTTCGCTATTCATTTACTCAAATACGTCAAGTAGTTTACTCGCTGATTTCACCTGCTTTTCTTTCTTTGTTTGATTCGTTTTTCTACGGCTTATCGAGCCTTTTGCAGGTTATTTAAAGCCAGAAAAGATTTTTCGGTTGAATTTTTTTTTTTTTTTTTTTTTTTTTTTTTTTTTTTTTTAGGTAATAATTGTTTATTATTAATTAACCCATAGCAGGGTGAATTCATACTTTTCGTAAATGTATTTGCGCGTAACGAACCCAACGAATACAACGGGAATTACAACTCTGTTCCCTGATTAACAATTCCGAACTATTACACCAGCCGCATATCCAGCATCTGGTATTTCCAAGCGGTCACCCATCTGACCAGTTGCTTAATTTGGGTGATTGTACGGGAACAGATGTTTCAATATGATGTGGCCGTAATCCTCTTGTTTTGCGTGTACTCGGTGAGGGTTATCTTCTCCAAACCTTTCCTTATTATATATGCCAAAAAATCGAGACGATTTCTCTTTGATGGAAGGGGGAGACGGAGGGGAGAGAGAGAGATTGTATGCCTTAACTTCATCGCTAGAATTCTTTCTTTGAGTCACTAAGTTTTTAAAAATTCTCAGAAAGGCTTGACAAACACCGATATTCCGGTACATTTGATCATATAACAATAACGCATTATCTGTCTTGCCGGATAAACAGGGGTTACGTAATCAGTCAGTTAAATGCCATACGTAATACACGCTTGGGTGATCAGTCGGCTTTCGATTCTTTATTGACTCAGCAGAGATTTTCCCGCAGTAGGTTGCCTTTATTTTTCTGTAACGTAATAACAATTCAATAAATGATACTTCAGGCCATTTTAACGGAATCTTTCCAACAAAAATGATAACTGCAAGAAATTCTTTCTTTTTTTTTTTTTAATTTATTTCTGCCAAGTGTAGGATCGCTCAAACTTTTATCTTATCAATCTGCTTCCATCTCCGATTCTGACGCCTTGCTCGGTTCAAACACGAAAAAGAAGGAAAATAATTTAGTTTTACACCCTTTCGAAACAGATGGACTGGTCTGAAGACAATCACTTAAGAAGGCCGAGAAAGTATTGTGAAATCTCGGCTTTTGACGCATGCCAATAAGTGACGTCATTATTTGTCAGCGTCAAATGACATTCCAATGACTCCCATTGGCCAACTTGCGTAATCTTTTGTGATTTCTATGTTTTCATTTACTTCCGCACTCTTCTAATTACTCCAAGTTTCAAAAGAGACTAATTTGCCTCTCTCTCTCTCTCTCTCAACTTCCCTCACTCCCTTTCTTTCCTCATTGTCTTATTTACTCCCTCTTCCACATCATTATCTCCCACTCTTGTCGTTTTCAGTTCTTCTTTGTCCTCTATTACTCCTCGTCGCCGTCTTTCTTTTCTGTCTCTTCTCTTCGTCTTTTATGTTTTCTTTCTTCCTTTCTTTCTTTCTCTCATCTTTTTCATTTCCTTCTTAACGCATTCAACGTTTTGTTTTTCTTCTGCTCTTCTTTGTCGTCTTTTTCTTTTCTTTTTCTTCTCATCCTCTTTTTCTTCTTCTCTTCATCCTCCCCCTCCTCTGCTTATCTCCCTCTATTTTTCTTTTACTGTTCTATTTTCTTTTCCTCGTTTATTATCTTCCTCTTTTTTTCTCTCTTTCCTTCTTCTTTTTCTTTTCATCCTTCTCTTCTTCCTCTTCGTTACTGTTCTCTTTTCATCATTCGCCTTGCTTTTTTTTCTTTTTCTTCCCTTTCGCCCCTTTCTCTTTTCCTCTCCTTCTTCTCCCCTTTATTTCTTCTTCTCTTCACCTTTATTATTTTGCCCCCCTTTTTTCCTTTTACATTTTTCTCTTTTCCTATCTACTCCTCTTCTTTCATTTCTGTTTCTTTCCACTTCTTTCTTTCTTCCCCTTTTTTTTCTAGTCTTTCATTTAATCCTGTGAATTGGATGTTTCTAGAAAATCTGCCCATATTCTCTTTTTTCTTTAAATATTTTTAGCTTTCTATTAAAATAACCCAATCCCCCACCTTTTTTAATATCTTTTTCCTTTTTTTTTCACTTGGTTGCCTATCAACTTCTTTCGTTTCTACACCTTCCATTTTCTAGAACAGTCTTGAGATATTTGGGTCCAACTGCCAGGGATACAAATTACAACATTAAGCCAAACCATGGGAATGGCGTCCAAGCCGCAGACACGTAAGACTAGAGCAGGTTGTCCTAGCCAGACTTCACAGGACACACACATGTCACCTACTTACTTAAAAATTAAGAACAACCGTTGTGCATAACATGTGACGAAACATAGACGATTGTATATGTATTTATAATCTGGGACGAATTCCAGCAAACATTAATTATGTACCACAGAGACGCGACCCCTTTTCTCACAGACGAAACATCGCAGCGTCACACTGCTCTATTGCTATTTCTATGGGACAAACTCGGAAGAACGCAATTCCTCAGTTCCACCAATTCTAACTTCCACGGTTAAAACCTGCCATGATACGCACATTGCAGTGAAACACCCTCATTCCCTACAATTTCCACTGGTGAGATGTAAGTTCCACTCAAACAGCTTCTTCCCACGAACCGCTATGAAACCAACTCCCAAGAGGATGCTTTCCGGATCATTACAATCTTAACCTGGGCACTTTCACGTGGTGTATTTGATAGCAAGATTGTCTCGCTAGATTAATTACGACTGAGTAGCGAGTTCGTTCCTCACTGGGTGCTCCATACTTTCGGCCTTGTGCCACATCTAAACTACACTTTGAAAATTACCACAACGATCTTAAAATGTCTAGGATAAATCGTTATCTTCCCCACATATCTAGATAAACTGTACCGCTAAATCTGTAACCATCTACCTCGAGTGGCTCTCGAGCATTGTACAGGGTGAACATCATTGTAAAAATATGAAGACGTAAGTGAAGTATTCGAATTTACAGAATCAGGTGAGATTTTGCAATTTGTAAAGGTGACTGATTTTTTATAATAGAAAAGTTTACGATCTAGTTCTATATGCTTTATATTTGGAAAAGTCCGCCAATGTATTTTAAGAAAAAGTTTATTACAATCCCCTCTTTATGCAAGTTGTATTTGGAAAATCATATATCACGGACATACTCTTATCTCTTTGAGTAGACTCCACATTTATGACTTATCAGTTGAAAGTGCTATAAAAAATTTATCAACCCACAATTTACAGGATCCTTAAGAAAAATTCTGGTCAAAAACAGTAAAATTCCATATAAATCACATTACTGGGAAACATCTCAGTATTATAGAAGCCCTGTATATTAAACATACTCCTACTATCAACCTCACCTTATTTACCAGTGTAAATGAAGTGTTTAAAGTTTCTAAAAAATAGAAAGATGCTCACGCGAATTTCAGCCGCGCTAAACACGCGAAGGCTCCGAATGAACGCTCCTATGAAAAAAAAACAAACAAACAAAAAAAAAAAAAAAAACACGCACACACACAAACACAAATATAAAATACAACTTAAACAGTCAAAACACGAGGAAAAACTAACAAAACACCAAAAACAAAACCACTTGAAATGACCGAATGCGCTTGGGACAATGAAAATTATGAAACATTTTTGTACCCACTTACTCTTATCAAACGGAAAAACGTAAGAATGCTGGAAAAACTAAATAAAAAAAATAATTAAATCTTCCTTACCGTATTTAATGAAAGATATCTAAAAGAAAGGTTGCTTCTCAAATATATATATATATATATATATATATATATATGTGTGTGTGAGATAGTGTGTGTATTTTTAATCATTTGACCCCCCCCCAGTAGTCAATAAAACCACCAAGGCGCAAGTCAAGTTACTGAGTGTTAGAGAATATGATAAAGAATTAAGGAGAGCAGGCAATAAAAGAACAAGAGTTAAGAAGACAAGATAACGATTGACATAGTACTTAAATTTTTGAAGATCAGAGTTGACGGGGAAGCAAGAAGCCGGAAGAGAGTTCCACAAGCGAGAAGTGCGATAGAAGAAACTTGCGCCCCCCTCCCAACATATTCTCCTGAACTACATTCTCATTTGCCTGTGCTGTCAATTTGTCCCTTTGAATTTCTCTTGATTACCACTCGACCCTTAAGCAGACTCTGGGGAAGACCTTTGCTCCCATCATCCATTTTTCAGATATAAATTTATTGGTTTGGCCCCTAACACCTGAAAACCACGCCATCATTGGATTAGCTATTTTTTTTTCCTGGAATTACTCCACTACAACTCCATGCCTTTTAACAATATTATAAATGTCTTTCCTCCCTTTTACCACCCCTATTGTCTCGGTTGCATTTAAAAAATGAATTTTAACAATATCTGCTTCATTTTAACTTCATTTCTCTTTTTTTTCCGATCCACCCGAGTTGGACTTGACGACTTTTCGGCTAAAATAACTATTGCTCTTGATATCTCACTTTCGGATTCTCTATTGATTTTTGTTTCACTCTGTCAAAGATGTGACCCAAATATGGCGAGAAATGAATTGATCCTTTTTCTTTTGGAATGAAATCTTTCTGAGCAATGTTAGCAAAGAGAAGAAAAAAGAAATTGCTCTTTTTTTCCTACATTATTAAAGAAAACAAAAAACAAACAAAACTAAAACAGATGTTTAATTGTAATTAGAATAAAATAATCAATTCCGAAACCGAGCGAATGGAATGTATTCGTCTTTTTTTGAAAGCTATAATTAAAAAAAAAAGTTTCCATTTCGTTGCACACATAAACGAACCCTTCCATAAGTGATACTGAGAAAGAAAAAGAAATCAACTGTGCTATTTACCGTATTGCTTGCTCATTAGAAGTGTCTGACCAATTTTATAAAACCCCAATGGCGCCAAACACTTTAGCGAGTTCCCTTGATGAACTTTAACGGAAGTCGAAGAATTGCAATTGAATAAAACTCTCGTCCTACGTCAGTTTCTCGCGTGGATCTCGCACCCTGTCTTCCTAGTTTTCTCCTTCTCTATCTCTCTATATATATTTACTAATTTTCTCGTTTCTTCTTCTCCTCTTTTTTTTTTTAATTTCGCCTTTCTTTATTTTATTGCCTCTCTTTTTTCTTTCTCTTTTCTTCTCCCATTCTCTCTTTCCTTCTCTTCCTTTACCTCTCTTCACCCTTTTCTTTTTTTTTTTTTTACCTCTCCTCGTTCTTTTTTCTTCTTTTACATTTCCTATCTCTTTTCTTTCTCAATCACTTCTCTTTTTTTTTCTTTGCCCTCTTCTGTCTCTTCGTCCTCTACCTCACCTCTTTCTCGTACCTCTTCTTCCTTTTTTCCTCTATTAACTCTCTTTTCTCTTCTCTCTTTTCCTTTCTTAGTCTTCCTTTAACTCTTTTCTCCATTTTCTTCCCTTACCTCCCCTCTCTATACCTCCGCAATACACCCAGCTTTCAAAAAAGAAAAATTGTAATACACTAGAAAAACAGAATAAATATTTACAAAATATCCCTTTCATATATATATATATATATATATATATATATATATATATATATATATATATATATATATTATAATTTGGATAAATTGTCGTGTAAATGACGCCAAAATGAAAATAACACTGACAATTCATTTTAACAGATATATTTACTAAAATTACAGAAAAATATCTTGAAATACTAAAGAGTAAATTAATTCAATAAAATGGCCATTGGCTTCAACCACTTCGGAATCACCTGCATCTCTTCTGGACGGTCTCCTTGTTTAAGTTAGTGAATGCTGTCATAACCCTTGCCTTCAGTTCATCTTTGGTGTTACAAGGAGTTTTGTTGGTCTATCGCTCAACTACGTCGCACACATAATAATCAAGGTTGTTGCTGTCTGGGGAGTTAGGTGGCCAGATGTAAGGGGTGATATAGTCGCAGGGTCTCCCAAAGCTCTATCCTGGGTTCTACACTGTTTCTGATCTTCATCAATGGTCTTCCTGGTGTCATCAGTTCTCAAGTAGGCATCTATGCAGATGACACTACCATTTAACGCTTGTCTCGATAGTAAACCCGGCAGTACTGGCAAAGTCAACCTGGCCGCTGCTCTCGAAAAGGACCTTCAATCAGTGGTTAACTGGGATAGGAAATGACGTAAATTTTTATGCCTCCTAAACGAAACTTCTCTCATTTAGCCCCCAGAGATAAATAGAATCCAGGAGAATATTTCACTATGCCTTATTAGCCTCTCGCTTTCGAATGACTTCAAATGGAACAACTAGATTGAATCAATAGCTGCATCTACTGCAAGGAAAATTGGCTCACAGTGTCACGCCTGAAAGTTTTTTCTCGTCAGAGTCCATCTCACATATTTACAAATCTACCATTCGGGCATTGAGTACTGTTGCCATGGTGTCCCAACTGTTAATCTTGAGATTCTCGACAAAATTCAAAGAAGGATCTGCAATGTAATTAATCCGGACTTGGCATCTCGACTCCAGTCATTTTTTTCACAGACGTGATGTGACTTCCCTCTGTCTTTTCTACAAATGTTTTCATGGTAACTGTTCTGTCTTGCTTTTTTCCCTGGTGTCCTGACTACATAAATTTAAGTTTAGACTAGCTTCTAGGTCCCATCTTTTACCGTTTAAATAGTTAAATGTAATCGCCACTTCTACTCCAACAGTTTATTTTCTCGCACTCCCCACCTGCGGAACTCCCTTCCATTTACATGCTTTCCTGATAACTGCAATATCCAAAAATTTAAATGCGACGTCGATCACCATATTGTGATGTCTTGAACCCCATTCATCTTCTATCCTTTCCTCATTCCCCTTATACACATTTTTCCTCTCACCTTCAAGCTATGTAGCCTCTTGCACTCCCGCCTTGCTTGGGGTGAAATGCTTAAAAAAGAAAAGAAAAAGAAATTGTCTCCTGCTTGTGTGGCATGATGCAGAATTTTGTTGCCAGACATAGGGTTTCTCAGCAGCCACCCTCATGAACCAGGACAGCACTATCTCCTTAACCAAACACTCTGAAATGTTCGTATTGGAGCTACCGGTGCGAATGCCAAGCAGTACAGCATGTTGTTTCCAAATTTCTGGCGGAGTGAATTGCGTCATGGTGCTCTTTTTCTCACTGACGGTGACC